GGGTATACTCACAACACTAATAAGTTGCATGCAAATATGTGATCAATACTACTAATACAAAAAGTAAAACGTTAGCTCATGCTAGCCTGATTTCTACCTACATAATCTATGATCTTTCTCACAAATCCATCAGGATTATCTTTAAGCACCTTTAAGACTACATAATAATAAGAATTAGAAAAAAATATGTCAGACTAGGTCAGATGTACTGGTTTTATGAAATTCTGTATAAACTATAGCCAGTATTTTTTCTTGTGCACGAAAATGTTTTTTTCTTCAATCCTGAAGTGTAAAAATGATAAGAAATAATAAAATTAACAATATATTTTTTAGGTTTATGTCACCTCCACTGGCAATAAAGCTTCACAAAAAGGCTTTGAAAAGGCCCATGGACCACCATTTGATAATCACAGCTATAGCTTATTTTGTGGCTCTGGACACATTTTATTAGTGAGCCCTGGAGCAGAAATGGCTCTTTTGACTGTAAAGGTTGCAGATCCCTGCCCCAGACGCTCCAGATCTAGAAGCTGCAAATGACCAAATGTTTTCAGCCAAACTTTCCACACACTACTGTCGTCAGACATGTTTTAGATTTAATCATTTATATTTTTCCTGCATCTCTACTCGTGCACAATGCCAGTTTTGTTTTGTTTACTGCTTCTGCTGACCAGAAAACACTGGTGAGTTGTATGAGCCGGAGGTTTAGGTTAGCTAACGGTGTTGGCTGTTCTGAATCTTCATGCAGGTGTCTTTTGCTCGTCATATCCAAAGTAAAAAATATTTTTTGTAGAACGAGATGGGAGGTGGGACTGTGGCTGTCCGATCCGTCCTGGTAGCACAATCCGTACTGTCAGCTCATTTGTGCTAAATGATAGACTTCTTGAATGTGCTGGATTTAGGAAAAAATACTGATAATAATTATTTCTATACTTACGGTAATTATAAAGGTGTGTTAAATAATATTCTGAGGACAGTTTTAATATTGTAGACATTTTGATTAATAAAATATAGATTGACGATGCGTACATATTTATAATAACTTGCAGACTATTTTCTAGGCAATTATGTTATAACTCGTCTTATTTTCATTTTATTTTTTTCCTGGAATAAAAATCCACAGCTGTTGCAAACGTTGCCTTTTCTATGAAACATTGCAGGTGATGAAAGACTGAAATCCAATGAATTCTGTCATCAGTTTAGCGAAATGCTACATGCTAAAAACAATGTTTCCGGGACAGTACTGATCGGGCAGCCACAGGGACGACTCAGTGACTCCAAACTGAGAGAAAGTTCTGCTTTCTGGGTCAGCTGAAGCCTCCTCTGGGTGATTCTTACAGCATCTCTGAAGTACAAGTAGAGCACCATCTAGTGAGCTAATATTAAAATCTAAACTAGTGAAGGGATAGAGGTAAAAAGAGAACCATTATTGAGAAGAATGCATTATTTGTAATGAACATGGGGTTGATAGTTGCACCTATAATGTATTTCAATGTTCCTCTAAAGAACACAAGTGTGTAGTAAAGTTACTGTGAGGGGAGAATTTTAAAATAATTTTAGGCTTTTTCAGAACGTTTAAGGACTGTACAATAATAATAATGATAATAATAAACATGGACAAAAATTCATGTGCGGCTGATTATCCTCCAAAGGACAAAAATAAAGTTACGATGAGCAAAGTTGTGGGTATGGATAAGTCATGGCTCAGTACAACAGGACAACAAAACAAACTGCTAAGTTTAGGGTTTTAAACAGATCAAAATTCTCCCAGAAGCAGAAAAATAAAATAAAATAAAACATATAAAATATATAATTGGTACAATGCAGGAGTGTAACCTGTAACTTTAACATAAAATGAAAAGCTACATGACAGTTTTTCTCAGTCGTTTTCATCCAGTCTTTACCACACAATCCAAGCAAAATGATATCAGGAATATCAAATAAACACAGGGTTCCTACAGTTTAAGGCAAGTTAAATTTAAGACTTAAGACTTTTTAATGCCAAGTGAAATCAAATTTAAGACCAATTTCACAATAAACACAAATGACAAATAAACTAAAACTGTGGCAGAAACTCATGAATCAAATTTTTTGTGGTTGAAGTATTCAAATATTGCTAATAGACCAATTGTTTTTATCCACATCTGACTGCTATTTTGTCAAATATAACAAAAAAAAAAATACATTCTTAACAGTCAGTTTTAAACTTAATTTAATTTCAGGAAATCCTCTAATGACCAACAATTTGGAGTTTCAGGACCCACAGTGGATTCTCAACCCCAGTTTGCTGTATATGAAACCTTAAAATGCATGTGACATAAAATATTTGTAAGAAATATGAATGTGTTTTTGGAAAAACATTATTAACATATTAAAAAACAAATTTCACATTGCTCAGATGAACAGTTGTTGAGATATTTACTTTTTAAGGATCCACAGGAACCCTGTAAACAGATCATAGATCATTTCAAAAAGTGAATTATATGACATAGATAATTGCCATACAGGCAGTCATGTCATTCTCCACAGTTGGGTGACTCGTAGGACACTAGTCTACACAGCTGATCTGAAACAAGCAGGTCTCTGGGCTTGTGCCTGTTCTTCCATCAGCCATTTATGTTTTGATGTAGAAAACTTTAAATATCAGTTTCCTCTGCTTCTGTTGTTCAACAAAATGTGTGTCAGCTTAGATGGAAGCAGTGGTCTTTTGTTGTGTACTTAAATGTACTCGTGCCAAACGTCTGTATCATAATGTGTACAAATAAATATACCATTACACCCTAAATGTACGCACAAACAGGTTCCTACGTTGTTTGAAACGATCAAATAAGTCTTTGTGTCTGATAACTTCAAAGAGCTGCTCCTTCAGTGTTCTCTGAGGTGACACATAAATGTGACAGAGCTTGTCTTACTGTTACTCATAACTCGTCCACTTACAGCGCGTCCATGTAAACAGATGTTACCTGGAGTTCACAGGTGAAGTCCAGTCAACCCAGCGGATCGTGACATTCTCTCGGACCTCCCCGCCGTCGTTCCTCCCGCAGGGTATGTGGAAGTCAGTCTGCTCCCTCAGGGCTGAGCGCAGAGACTCCATAGTCTCTGGAGGGATCTGAACCATTAACCCATCTGAAAAACAATATAAAGACAAGCATTTGAGACCTGCTCCATTTCTCCTTATCGACATTCCAAACAGAGATGAGTTTAAGTACCTTCAACAATGCTGGACTTGGCGATGAAGCCAGAGGAGGCTTTCAGTGCTCCATTAAACACAACAAAACTGGCTCCAGTCACTGTCAGAATAAACAGACCACCAAACACATCCATAAAGGACATCACTTTAAAGAATTCTAACGGCTCACTGTCATTTGATGAAGAACACGCACCTGTGCGAGTCTTCCCCGGCATGCTGTTGGCCTGCGTCTGATAGTTTCCCTCCTCGTTCTGGAGACACACCAGGTGAGAGTCGGCCTGGAGGCTGAAACTGGCTCCGATGCTGATGACGTGCTCGTTGGATGAATTCACTACCTTCTGCACCTGGAAAGACAAAGCCATCACAGCTGCAGGTTTGCAGGTGGACCTTTTGTGTGGTTTCAACCAGTCCCAGGTGGAAAACAGTCAGGAAGAAGAGACATGTAGTGCAGAAAGGTAAACCTCTCTCACTCACTTCACTGAAGCTACTTTTGGGGATATCGATGTAGCTGTGGCCCATCTCCATGTGGATCCTCAGGCCCTCGACCACTGGTAGACTGTACTGATAGTTTCTCAGATCCTGAAGGGGAAAATACACATCTGAAAATCAGAAATTATTTTCATCTTTCTTCCATGACAGTGTTCACTCAAAGCACCAGCTCTGCTTTAGGAGCGGCACTAACAGCTGAATCCAGTTTTTACAAATCAAGCAGATTTCAAGAGATCAGAGTAACTCAATAAACAATAAAACATCCAGTATCAAGGCTGTTTCTGTGGTCAAACATCTTTAAAGGGATCCATGATTAGTTGTAACATTAGACTTTATTTGATAAACATATATTTTAACTGTAAAATAAAGACTGTAAAAATACTGTAGGCTGCTTAGTTTTTATAATTTTTAAACTAAGTTTAAAAATATATTACACGAATGGGGCCATTTTATTTACACACAAAGCATTCTGGGTAAACGATGACGTGGATAGGTCCTCGATGCGAGGCTGCTAGCGAGCTATATCCACCCTGAAGGTTAATCTTGGACAATATCTGATGATCGACTCTTTTAAATGAAACCAGAGAGCGTTGACAGAGAGGAGAAGGTAGAAATGACTCAGCCTGTAACTGAAAATATGGAAGGAGGACAACAGAGCTGCTTCATGGAAGAAGAACCTCAGCTTAGCCTGTTAGCTTTAGTGTTAGCCCCGATGCTATCACCATATAAATGTATTAGCTCAGCGCTACACATTCTCCTCTCGTCACTGAGGTCCTCCATCCACATGACAGAGAGGGGAACACAAAAATGACTCAGCCTGCAACTGAAAATATGGATGGAGGACCTCAGTTTAGCTTGTTAGTTTGTCGCACTAGCACCGAGCAAATATATATAAGGAAATATAGCATCGGGGCTAACGCTAAAGCTAACAGACTAAGCTGAGGTTCTTCTTCCATGAAGCAGCTCTGTTGTCCTCCATCCATATTTTCAGTTCCAGGCTGAGACATTTCTACCTTCTCCTCTCTGTCAACGCTCTCTGGTTTCATTTAAAAGAGTCGATCATCAGATATTGTCCAAGATTAACCTTCAGGGTGGATATAGCTCGCTCACACCGAAGACCTATCCACGTCATCATTTACCCAGAATGCTTTGTGTGTAAATAAAATGGCTCCGTCTGTGTTAAGATATATTTTTTAAAAATGTACAAAACTAAACAGCCTACAGTATTTTTAGTCTTTATTTTACAGTTAAAATATATGTTTATCAAATAAAATCTAATGTAACAAACTAATCAGGGATCCCTTTAAAAACAATTAGGAGTTTTGTTCACAAAGAGAGGTTTTCTGCAGTTCTACAGTCCCACAGCAAAACCTGTCCAAAGTATTTTTGTTTCATTTCAGTGTGTGCTGGTCAGTCTTCACTACAGAGCACAGCCTGCCTGAACTGTGGTACTTACTGCCAGTAAATTCATAATGGTGTGCCCCGTTTCTCGATACACAGAGTTCCGAAAACGAACACTGAACAACGTAGTTGGATACACTGGAAAACAAAAAGTTATTACATTATTTTATACTTATAACACATTTTAAACAGAATGTTTTACCCGAAGGGCAGAGCAGCTGAATATAAACCCATGACATGAAAACACCACAGCTGCACTGTCAGACAAATACACACCATCATACTCGGCTCCGAGCCGTAGCAGCAGTCTGAGTGGGAAGACTTTGGCCCAGGGGACCTCCAGTTTCTGGACAAGAAGACCAAACAGGAAAGACTGTGGTGGGAGCGAGAGGCCGTCCAGAGCTTGACAGGTGGGAGGGAAGAACAGCATCCCTGCGTGATCTTTACTGCCCAGGAAACTGTGGGTGAATGTCACGTTATCCAGCTCTTCTACAAACTTCCCTGGAGCACAAAAGCAGTTTCACAGTTTGTGGACGTCGGAACAAATGTCTTTTGAAACCGTCTGCAGTGCATACCTTTCTGAGCATCTTGGTAAATGCTGACATAAAGTGAGAAGAGGTCCCTCGGAAGAGTTTTCTCTCCTGGCAAACACTCCAACATGAACACCAACTCTTTCTGACCCAGAGCCTGAAGCCCAATAGAACCGAAGCACCAACACTGCCTGCTGGAGTCTGATCGGTTCAAAAACAACACAAGTTCAAAGGTGACTCACTTTCAGGAAGACAAGTCAAGACTCTGATGCCGTTTCTTCTACTCACAGGCAACCAGTTTGACGTTGACTAGCAGGTTGGCGTTCAGGACAAACGTCAGAGGACGAGGTCCTCCCTCCTCCAGTAGGTGCAGGATCTGACAGGGAGCTGGACTCTCCTCAACCAAAACATCTAAACATCAAACCCAGAACACTTCATTCAAGACTGAGACAACAAAGATACACGGTCCACAGAGCAAAACATTATGATGGGTCAACAAGAAAAAAGTTATAAATGTCAAGTCAAGAGGCACAAAAAGTTTTCGTTCCTCACATTTTATTTTATGCTACCAGTGGAACTTTCATTGTTCTTATTAACAACTATTTTATCACCATTTACTGAAAGACAAAAGGTGGGTAATAATGGTTTTGCATTCATCTGTCCATAATGTTAGCAAAATATCTCATAAACCACAAGACAGATTTAAATAAAACTCAAAGTCAGATAACTGCTCAAGGGGCCAACAGCTCAGGGGCCACAGTTACCCCTAATTTACACTATATGCAGTTCCACTACGTCGCGCTGTGGTCCGAACTCTGCAGCAAATATGCAACCATTATAATCAATGAGAGTATTTACACTGGCTCTGCACGGTGGAGCAGAGCGGCGGTGAGTGGACGGCAATCTGCCAAAATTAGATCTGATCCTATTTTTGCCGGATGCCGGAGCTGCTCCGGAGTCAATCCACAAAGATCACGTCGCACAACTCCGTATTTTCGAAATAAACCACCAAAAGCAGATTAATTTTGTTACAATCCCAGCTACACTATTAAATTTATGGATATATTTCTACACAAATGTTGTCGAAATGTATGATTCTGTTTGGGAAGCAGGTGGCAACATGTAGCGTGCAGTATATATTTACACACATGATTCACATGGATTTTACTTTGAAATCAGAAGTTTCAAAAAGATGATAGCGACTAGCTCTGACACATTTATCACTGAGTTTATTGCGTGATCTCACATTTCCTGCACACGCTTCTCGTAACTCCTGTTTCACAGCGGACTGGACCTGAGCGGACGCTGTATAAACTGGGGCACAAACAAACGTCTGTGAACTGCGCAGCGGAGCGGAAGCGCATCTAGTGTAAATTAGGGCCAACAGCTCAGAGGCCACAGTTAATGAAAGTAGGGTTGGTGGTTTCATACTGTGGTATGAAAATCACCTGTGTCCTGGTATGTTTGGTAACAGGACTGTGATTCTTTAGACCCTGTGGACTGGAAGGACGCGTTTGTGGACTGAGCTTGCTTTTCACAAATGCCAACATATATATTACTGGAGAGTTTGGTTTGACTGACGTGTGTTTCACAAAGGAGCCATTTCCTTTGTTTTCTGATTTTGTTACCAGGTGAGAGATACACACACCTCCATTGTCCTCTCCAGTGCTGATGAGCAGTGGAGGCAGCTCGTCCTCGTTTTCTGGCAGCAGGCTGGGACTCCTCTTTACTGAAGAACCCATTCCAGAAAGCAAGCTGTAATCCCAGGGTCCAGACACTGGAGGTCGGACCACCTCTACAGCTCCAGAGGCATCAGGGGTAGAAGAGCTGCCAACTCCAGGGTCTGACCCAGAAGAGCCAGGCTGAAATCACACAAACAGTTTCTCTTACCTCTACAGACATATTATTTCTGACAACAAAAAAAACTCTATACCCGTCAGCCACCATCAAGATATTAAAAAAAGATTAAACTGTCGAAAACAAGAGGCACTGGCATGACAGCTATGCAAAAAGTTCATCTCACCGTTTCTGGATCTGGACTGAACTCCTGGGAGCTCCGGCTGCTCATCACTGACAGCTTGGTTGTGTCTGCCACCTCTCCGTTGGGCAAGATGCCGTCGGCAAACCACACGCGCTTTTGTTCACGTGGACAAGCTGATAACACGCAGAGAAAAACACGAGGAGTTCAGGAAAGCGTGCCAAGAATCAAAGTGTGGATAAGGAACAGAATCTCTGAGCACCAGTACCATCATTATTTGGGTGCTTGAGAACGGACACTGGGACCATGACTGTTGGAGGTGGAGAGTTCAGAGTGCCAGCAGCTCGAGCCTGCTGCAGAGGAGGGATGGTGCTGCAATACTCGGATGGAACGTTAGGGTTTGGACTGGGACCAGTAGGACTCATTGTCCGCTCATCCTTCTGGGCTGAAACACAGAGATGTCATTAGAAGTTTCCCTTTTAAACTCAGTTTATTTACTGCTCTCACAAAACAACATGAAGTGTGTTTTTTCATAGACTTTAAAATTGTAAGATCTAAACTTTCAATGTTTTAATGACTTTTAAATGGACCAATGAGGTCAGTAGGCTTTTGGGAACACACACAAGGACAACTTGAAATATTAAAGTAATGCCTTCACAAAACTTCAACAAGATGTGAGACGTCAAATCTCGCAGTTGTAATTTGAGAATCTTTTTCTAACTAGTCATAATCAAAAGAGAAGTTGAGGGGTATAAATCCTGATAAGTCTGCAGTAGACGTCACACACAAACAGAATCATCACAGACAGGTTGGCTGTGTCCAAATTCAGAGGCTGGGTCCTTCCAAGGCCGAATTTGTTGTCCGCTTACATCACAGCACCACGCCGGAGGCTGTCCAAATCTGAAGACTCCTCTCATGCGGCCGACAAATGTGTCCTTCTTTTGCCCCGATTTGAAGGATGGGTCCGACGGATCCTTCTAGGCCCACCATATCCCATAACGCATTGCAGGCCGACCAGTGATTTTATTCTGATCATAATGGCGAACGAAGCGAGAGAAAGGAATACAGTTTTAAATAATAATCTGGCGGTATAAAAATTAAAAGTTTCAAGAGGTTGTATTGTTCATGCTTTTGTCATATAGACAGATTTTTAAATTTTATTCATCAGCAATAAAACAAGCTGGTATAGAGAAATAAACACGCACCGATGGCAGGTCCCTTAGTTCTTCAAATATTGCCTTTAAGCCGATTTTGTTGTTTTGTGATATGAACAACGCTAATATATTTATATTTTTCTAATTTCGATCAAATTTTGCTTCTGTTTAGCGTTGTCACAGATGCCAGGTGACAAGACGTATGCTAGAGTAAGGACGGGAGGCTAGACTGTCCAAATTCACAGCCACCTTTTTTCTGGCCTTCGTGGCCTACCAAGGACCTGGCCCACCAAGTCCTTCGGAGGACCCAGCCTCTGAATTTGGACACAGCTATTGTCAGAATGGATGTTTACTTTTAGTTAGGAATGTCTCGATCCAGATGTTTTGGCTCCCGATACAATCTGATTTTTGAATGATTAGTCTTTCCAATATGATCCGATACCGATCCGATAGCTTTTTGTTAAATTTCTTTCTAAGTGACAAGGTTGGTAGTATTAAAGTGAGCCCTGCTGTTCCCACCACGAGAAACATCCAGTTTGCAGATTTTGCAAGATGCAGTTTCAGTATCATTGTTTTCCATTGAAAAGTGTTCCCACACTGTGGACATGGTTGCATACTTGTGTGTGTCTTGACTTCTTAACGGCAGTTGTAAAGCACAATGATGCTGAAAACTGTTGCAAAAACTGGATCGGCCCGATCACATGACTAAACCTGATTCTACCCGATTTTCAAAAAGTGACCATATCTGCCACCGATACTGAGTATCTGATCGGGACATCCCTAATTTTAGTTGATGACTGAGGAGTTGGAGAAAGAGAAAAATCTGGTATTCCTGTTGTCACCAGAGGAGAAACGTTATTTACAAAGTTAATCACAAAAAGACCACGATATTTTACAAAAGATGTTGGAACGTGTCTACACTGCCAATGAGAACTCCCTCCTGGTCATCACAGTCATGGAGAGCTGCTGGGTCTCCTGTGCATAACCAAACTTCTTCCATGTGTTCTTTTACTATCTTTGTCTTTTTTATTTAATTTGTTTTGTCATTTTTATTGGAACAGTTGTAACATTGGCTGTATTTTCACAGCCTCAGCTAGCAGCAGTAGATGCTGCTCAGAGATCAGTTCACTGCAGCCACTTTAAATAAAAAAACACAAAGTTCTGACCAATCACAAAAGGCTTGACCCATAGAACTGTTAAAACTAGTTCTGATTGGGGTCTAAGTAGGTGGTAAAAGAAAACTACAAAATTTTCATCACACACCCACATCAGCGAGATATGAGAATAGGCTTTCTTACTGACTATAAATCAGTGTGGGAGGAACATCATGAAACATTCGTTTTGTTTCTGATGGCCATTAAAATGTGTAAAAACAAGTTGTTTGTAAAACTGGGGCTGTTTGTATCTGTACACACAGGTTTTAAAGATGTAGTTGGATTGGGACATTTCTTGGTTCCACAGGCCCAGCTTTCTAAAAATATCCTGATCCAGTTCAGCTCTGGGTAGGACAGTTTCAGGTCATTATTTCAGGTCTGAGGTTTTAAAACCAAGAAGACCTGTAGTACAGTTGCATAGAACAGCTCTGAGTCATTATTTAAAGGTTTGGTTGTAAATTGCAAATTAATGAAATTATCTGTTTGTTGTTCTGATAAATCTCAGTAATCCAGGTAGAAAAAAAAAAGTTTAATCGGTCTTCTGGATGTTTTCTTTATGATGAAATGTTTTGTCTCTCTTCCAAAAGACTTCGTCAGTCTGAGGAGTTTCGGGTAAACCTTAAAAGGATTGCCTAGGTTTCACAATGGTGCCAGACTGTTTGTTCACATGCGAAAGAGGACCCTCAGTAATTAGTAAAGAATAAAATGAGATTATATGGTTGGTCTGGTTGCAGAGCTGGCTAGTAGGTGGAGGGATGAGATGGAACCAGCAAAACAGGAAGTAAGGTACGAGTGAATATTCAAAATAACACTGAATACTTACAAAAAGAAAATTGAAGTGTTCTCATTTAAAATGCCCAAGAAGTTAATTTTAGGACTTTGCAACACTTTAAAGCTTTAATAGAATCTATTAAGACCACATCTTGTCCATCACCATCTACTGTAAGATATCAAGAATCGGAGTGTTTTTCCCTCACAGAGCTCAGAAAGTGACGATTTGTTTGTGCATTTTTGGTGACTTTGTGTCAAATCTACTTTCAGGTGATCTACAATTAGATCATTCAGAAATAGAACAGAGGCATTAGCAAAAACCACACAAATGCACAACAGAGAACAATGAAGTCCGTTATAATGCCCATATAAAAGCTGTGTCACTACTGCAAAGACCAATTAGGGTCTGAAAAGCACCAAAGCAACTAGAAGTTAGTCTGACTTGAATTTATCAAATCACAATACTCCAACAGATTCCACCCTAACATTTCATTTGGAAAACAACATAAAACTGGTGTAAATTTAAAACAATAAATAAATAAATCACACAAATCGTCACCTCTAAACAGGCTTGTAGAGCAAATAGCTGCACTCCATCTGGACCCTTTGCTTCCACAGCAGAGATGAATGAAGGACAAACATGAGTTTCAGCAAAGCTCTTAATGACTCAGAGGTTTTCTCAGAGTCTTTTGGTTGCACTCGCAGGAAGTGCTGAAGCAGCATTTGTCTGAACAATATTGATTAAACATCATACAGCTTTATTGGTCGGGTGGATACTGACAACAACAACACTGTGGCTCACAAAAACACACAATCACAGCCACACAAGATTCAAACACACGACAGACATTATAGCTGTTTAAAGCCGTTATGAAGTTAAAAACAGAAAAGCAACAAAATAAAAACATTTGCAATTAAATGTGCAGAGAAAGAATGGGGCTGCATTCGGAGGGTTGAGAGAACCGTCATCAAAAACAAACTGAAAATGAGCATCAATAATCCCAGGGATGCTACAACTCCACACAAATTCAGAATCAATGAACAAACTTGAAACAGCTGCACATATTCTGAACACAAAGGCAGCACAAAGTTGTAAACAGTCCATTATTCATGACTTCTCTTACCTCACAGCCATCCTCCTCTCAACCAGACGACATCATAACAAGTCTGTTTCTCCGACTGACATCACACTAGTCACCACAGCTTATTCACAGGCTTAAATTTCCAGGAGTGTGCTGTTAGCATTAATAGGCTGTTAGCTGCAGGCTGCTCTGTGTGTGTGTGTGTGTGTGTGTGTGTGTGTGTGTGTGTGCGTGTGTGTGGCGAGCTTCTCCATGTTGACGTAAGCAGGGAGGAGAGGAAATCGCGACACACTGCGCCTCAACAACTGCAAGCTACAAAAGTAAACCACCTCTTTGTTTTATATTCGTACAGCGTGTGAGCATCACATGTCCACTGTTAGGCAGGTCCTTGGCCACGCACACACAGAGACACACACACACACGCACGCACGCACACACACCAAGGACAAAAGCCAGTATCCGCTGTAACTGTCGTCCCTCTTCTGCGTCCTCTTCATCTATCTCCCGTCTGTGCTGCAGTCTTTAAAAATGAAGAGGTTCTTCTGAACGTCACAGAGCCACACTGCATTTATTCTATTTTAACATCGAGATGGTTGTTTATATAAAAAGATAAATATTTTATTAACATTCAGAAGTGACACAAAGCTTCTTCATGTGGGATTCTTATGGTTTTTGATAACCTAAATATTCACTACTTGCAGGGTTAAAACTGTTCGGTTTTATTGCTAACTAGAGACTCCAGTTTATTTATGATTAGAGATCTTTACTATAAGATTTATAAGAACTTCTGTTAACTTCAGTCAACCAATCAAGCAGAGACAAAATATTATCTGTTGATGATCCAGCTTTATAACATCACTACATGTACATTCTGCTACTTGGATATTTCACCACACGGCTGTGAGAGATTTTCAAAGCAAGGAGATCATTGAAATGAAGTTTAAATATGTAAAATATGGGTGTGTGTTTGAGGCGGCACGGTGGCTCAGTTGGTAGAGCTGATGCCTCTCAGCAAGAAGGTCACTGGTTCAAATCCCGGTCCGGGG